TTATTTATGCCTGTGTGCATGCCCACCACTGGGCCATCTTAAAAAGAAACAACGAACTGAACAAACCAATTTGTAGTTAGTTTGGGAAAAATTGTAAATTCATGGTTCGCAGACATCCCTGAACCCTGATGAACTACCATTGGTGGTTTGTGTCTCTACTGATGTCACCTGGACACTCCCGACAATGGCAATAAAGGACTAAAGCAAAAAAGCAATACTTATTGAGGCAAGTCGAAATAATACAAAAAACACACAAACCCTACCAGCTGAACAAAATACACCACATGCTCATGCCAAAATATCAGAGCTACTTGTGATTAGCACTTAACTACATTGTGTAGTTGATGGAATAAATACTGAAAGGAACAGCGAAAAACAAGGCACAAACAGCAGGACAAATACCCATCTAATCCCTCCCATCATCTGTTACGAAAGGGTTCCACTTGAGCATGGTGTAACAAAATTTCTTTACGTTTTCTTTTTGTTCTTTACCCTTGAGAATTAACCAGCAGGTGTTTAAATTAGAATCCTCTTATACAACCCCAAAGGACAGCAACAGCTCCTCCTCAGCCATTTATATTCTACCATATTTTGCTACACAAAACTGTACACACGACAATTGTGTTAACGAGTAAAATGCTTCTTGCCTTAAGGGGAACATATTCGTAAGGATGGCATTTAAGCCGAGCAATCTGACTCCTAAGTGGTCTCTGACAATATTATCTTTTGAAAAGATATGGGAGGATATGCCTTTAAATTGTTGGTGGAGAGCTTGGAAAAGTTACTTTTTCTAATCTGTAAATACCTATCATTTCCCAGCCAGGCGGGCTACTGGCAACTCTCGTTATCCTTCACTGTGCTGGCTAGGGACTTGTAAAAGTTGTAGTCCAAAATAAAGGTAATTTTTTCAAACTGTACTGGGAGCTAGCATGGCTGACAGATCTAGCTATAGATTTCCAGCTCTTTATGTTTTATGAGATTCTCTTGTTTTTGACTGCTCTCCAAAGCCCTCATTCCAAAGCCCAGACAGGAAGCCACGTCAGACATTTTTTAAGACCTGTTCCTAGACTTCACACTTCAGTGCTCCCTGACAGGAGGGAGGATTAGGAGACAAAACTGCAGCATCAGTGCACAATAGCCACACACACACACACAGGTTGCCCTAAGTAGGAGAGAGAGAAAAAGCACAGCCTCCACCATTCATTTCTACAAGGGAGACAACATGGACCTCTCCTCAACCATAACTAAATGTTTGCCACTGCCACTGGACATTAGACTTAGTTGCCATTACATAGGAGGGGTCAGCACCTTTCCAGATATTCCTGGAATATCCAGTAGCCCTCTTGGTACTGAGGGATGATGGAGAGAATGGCAGCCAATCTCAGAAAGCACAGGAAAACCTGAAGATGAGATAATGGTGCCTTCTAATTTAAAAAAAGAAAAGGCCTCTTAGTGTTTTGATCCTGCAAATCCTGGCTCCATTACACCAAGATTGGGGATAAGGAAAAGAAAAATGTCTAAAATGGGAGACATGTTTTTTTAAATTCTTCCCTCCACCCCATCCCATGCAACTTGTCATTTGGTTGCAGTCTGGGTCAAATTATAAATCACAGATATATTAAGAAGGTGGCATTTCTTAAATTAGTGCGGGTAAATCCGTAAGTCTGAAAGTTAAGCACGCTCTCCTCTGAACTCCTGTGCCAGCTTCTGCAACCTCTACCCATCACTGAATTTCAGACTAATTCATTTAAAAAACCTGAAAGCATCCCCTTGAACCTTCTAGTCCATTGAAATATGCTTCAAAAAACTTTGCAATGGAACTTAAAATGAAAGACAGCTGGCAAAAGTTGGGTGTGCATTCAAGCTGGAACTACGCTTTGCACCCAGACAATACAACCTCTCTGACCTAGTTTTCAGAGTTCCATCGACAGGGTAGTAAATGCTGCTTGCTGCTCCGTCTTGCAGTTCTCTCTTGCAGGAATGTAGTGATGGAGCATCCTTCCAGTTGCCAAGGTCTCCAGCGCAGGAACTCTTAATAAGTGAGGCCAAGACAAACCGATGGTCACAACTTTTGAGGCTGAAGCAGGAAAGAAAAGGGGAGAGGGGCCAGAGGTGACCTGCAGAAGGCAAAGAGACTTGGGGAATACCTCAGCTCCACAAATCGTTGCTAGAAATCAAGAATGGTTAGAGGCACATTGCTAGTAGAGGCAAAGCAGCACATTCCTTCCCCTTCCACATGCAAAAAAACACAATACTGTAGGACTGACAGCTAAATTTTACTTCAGTGCTGGTGGCAACACAATAACCTTCACAGCACCTGAGGACAGGAGGCAAATTTATAGGCTAAAGCTGGAAGAATTATATATTGTACTTCAGAGTTGAAATACGAATGTTAAGGCGACCCCTTCGCAACCAGCAACAAGGTTTGAGTAACCACTGCTATCTTCCTCAACACAGAAGACAGTTCACCACATTTTTTAAAGTAGACTAAAGTCGTTTAAGGGCCCCTCTGGGTTTAGGGCTCTGAAGCTTGAGCTTCATTAGTTTCGTAGTAGATCTGCCCCTGTATGTGACAGAACACATAATATAATATACAGTTTTCATTACAGAACTAGATCTAAGCATGCTTTCAGTCTTTGTTGTTAGGTGCTGCCAGGCAGCGTCTGACTTAGGCCGGCCCTAACAAGGGTCATCCAACAGCCCATCATTACTACTGTAGTCCTCTTAGCTCCTGTGTAAAGTAGTGCCTGCTGGCCTGCCTCGGTACCCCAATTAAAATCCATGGGATTTAAGGACCCGGCATCCAATTGGTGTCCCATACATTTCAGTGGATTTACTGTATGACTGAATCTGAATCATAAATTGCTTTGCCCTTTTCAGAAAAGAAGGAACAACGTTTTGTTTTTAGAATCTAGCATTCATGATTTCTACAAAGAACGGGTCTCTTCGATGCAATATTCCCACAACCAAAGTCGGCTGACTCTGGAGCACAGCTGCTCACGACGGGAGGATCACCGCGCGCAGTTTGCC